ATATTCACATATGGTATGAGAAAAATACATGTGCAATTGCATTCACTGTAAAGGACTTTCAGTGAATCTGATTTTTTTTTAAAATTCAGGCTTTAACGTGGATGAATTGGATAGGTCAGTAAAAGTTAACAGCTTATTGGTATATGGCATTTTATATGAGGAGTATTTAATCTTTAGAGGGACAACATATTTGCTGCAAAACTAGGGGAAAGGACATATGATTCTGAAATAAGGTATGCATTTAAAGATTTTCTGGAGTTGAAACAAATAAACAGCAATAGATCATCATGAAGGGCATAAAACTACATGGTGTGCAACTACTTGCAAGAGTTCAGAGGGTCAGATGGGGGAAATGCAAATTTGCAAGATAGAGACTTCAAGCAACTGAAACAATAAAAAGTATCATTACTGTTCTTTATACAAAGCAGGTGCAATTTTCTCACCATAAGACTTTTTATTAAAGGCAGTTTTTTGCTTTTTAAGGCTTTTTTTACCCTCTTCCCTCCCTTATGTACAAAAGACCAACAGAATGTAACCTGGAAAACACTCCTCCAAGAGATGAGCCAAATTTATAATTCGTAGTACAACATAACTTAGTTAGCTGCATAATTTGCAAGTGATGACCAAGACTAAAAGAAAGAATAAAGGAAAGTACAGAGGATGGAAAGGTCATTTCTTTCCAAAAAATTATTTTATATGCTCTGTTTCTATCCCTCCTACATTAGTGAGATCTTCACTGAGATGGTGCTATAGTCAGATCTTTGTGAGAGAGTGGCATTCCTTATCCCTGCAAAATAAAAAGACCAATGGACTGAGTGAGGAATCCTAGAGCATTATAGCAAGATAGAACTTTAAACGTCATCTACAACACATTTTACAAACAAGAAAACTGAGGCTCAGACTGAAACATGACTGCCGCATGCTCACTTCATTCATGGTATCAGAGCCTAGATTCAATCTCATCTCTTTCAGCTCTAACTTCAGTGCACTTTCCACATTGATCTTGGCTAGACCTGCTTCTGTATCAAATGAGATGTTTGTAAACTGCTTAGCACAGTGCCTGGCACATAGTAGGTGCTTAATAAATGTTTTTCTTCTCTTTCCCTCCCCTCCTTTCCTTCTGAATGACTTTGGAGAAGTCACTTAAATTCTTGGAATGGTCATTAGTTTCATCAGTCAAATGAGAGAGTTGAACCAGATGAATTGCTTCTAGCTCCAATATCCTATAATTTTGTTTTTACCAGGAGAGTAATTAATGACCATTTCTAGCATAAAGTAGATATGGTCAGGACTAAAAGAATAAAGGAAAGTACAGATGAGTAAAAGGTCAACTCTCTCCTAACATTACTTCATGTGCTGTAATGTTTTCCATTCCTCCTACCTCACCAGGTTCTTTACTGAGATGGCACTTTAGTTGGACCTTCCTGAGAAAACAACAGCATTGCATATCTAGGATCCCCTGAAGAATAAAAAAAACCAGTGGCCTGGGAGTTAGGAATGTTGTAGGAAGAAGGGACCTCCATTCCAACATATTCCTCCATTAATGATAGTGACAGTCTAGTCAGACCCTCTGAGAGTATTTCCAAATTGTCCTTGTTTGTAACTTGTATCTTGTTTGTAACTAGCTATTAGCATTTTATTTCCCCCATTCTATCATTAGCTCCTTGAAGGCAGGGACCATTTTTTGTACTCGGCCTTTAGCATAGTTCCTGAAAGATAGTAGGTACTTAATAAATCTCATTTGATGAATGTTAACTTGACTTTGACTATAATCTACTCTTGTCTGGTGGTTTCAGAACTCTTCTCAAATCCCTGAAAATCCTTACCTACAAAAGATGCATTTTGGTTACCCTTGAAGGCTCTACTAGACCCTGGAAGATGGTTGTATTGCCTGGTATCAGGATTTGTCTAAGCCAACATAGCTTCTGTGAGAAAATAATGACTTCATGAAAAGCCATCTCAAATTATATTTAATTTCGGAAAAATCTCAAGAATGAAAGACTGGTCATATTGTGTTCCTTATACCAGATGGTTCCACAGTTGGAATGTATTTAGTTTACTTGGTAGCTCACTGGCTTGTTTGGTTCTGATCCCTGAGAGAGCTGAGGAAGTTAATCCATTTATATCCCTAGCCTGCCAGGTACACTCCCTTAGCATATTGTTAGGAGAAATAGTCTAGCTGGGAGTTGATCACTGGGCCCTAATCCAAAACTGAACAATTTCACTAGCAAATTGAGTGTGATACCATTTTTAGAGAAAAAGAAAAACTTTGGGACTCAAACTTTACAGTTTTGGCCAGAATTCCCATTTTCAGGGAAATGTTAATTGAGACCCTCCCACAAATGAGGAACAAGTAAAACAAGGTGACTCGTGACTTTCCAGCTCTAGTTAGCTACTTTATGTGTCAAAAGATACTTTTCCTCGGGTGCTAAATATGTCATTCTTTTCTTGAACAAATAAGTTGTTTCTAAATATAATCTTGTTTCTTTTCTGATTATTTTACCTTTTCAAATGAGGAATTTTAAAATGTTTTACTGCATTAACAAAATCATAATTTCATGAATTCATGTGGTATTGAATTAAATATTTTTAAAATCTCAGAATCCTATAAAAAGAAAAGGCTAATGAAAAAGTCTAACTGATGAGCTACGTGCCTTCTTTCTACCCACCAGTAAAAAAACTTGCATGCATTTATTCTGAAAACCTGGAATTTAAGCATCTTAAAATGACTATTATTAATAATGAAGAGTACCCTGGAATATACCCAAAAACACAGAGCAAGAGGTAGTGGGATGAGGTAATTAAGTGCTGCTTAATGAAGCTTTTTAGCTTTAAACTATAAGTGGGAGGAAGTTAGTCAGTCAGTCAATAAGCACTTATTATTCACCAACTATGTACCAGGCTCTCTTTCTAAGCCCTAGAAAAACAAAGAACAGCAAAGGAGCACCCTTGGTCTCAAAGAGCTCACAGTCTAATGAAGGAGAATCAACTGTGATCTAAATATCTTGTTCAAGACCCTATCTGCTATAAGAGGAGCCACTCCCCTCTAGAATCCTTGGAGATCACTTAGTCTAAACCCTTCATTTTACAGATGAGGAACTGAGGCCATGGAAATGGATTAAACAATTAGCAAGAGTCTGAGGAAGAGTTCAAATCTAGGTCTTTCTGCTTCCAAATCTGGCACTATCCCTTATACCATGATTTGTCTGGCCTATTCATAGGCTATCATTTCTAAATATATTTATTTTATTTTTAATTCTTTCTGAATTTCTATTGATGATGTTGTCCTAGAGAAATAAGAACTATGAAGAATGGATAGCTATTTGGGGGGTTTTCATTTTGGGCAATGCCACTAGTTTGTGGGGTAGAAATTTCTTTTTACCATACCTGTGATACCAGCAGTATAGAAAGCTCCTAGAGATGAATGTCTTCCACTACTATGCACTGACACTTTGAATCTTAGAGAATTGTATAGGGTACTAAGAGGTAAAATGACTTACCTAGGGTCACATAGCCAATATGTATCAGAACAAGACTTGAACACAGGTCTTTCTAACTCAAAGTCTAGCTCTCTTTCCACTACTTCATGCTGCCTCTGCAATAAGTTAGAAGAATTCCCTGAGATCTTGGCCCTTAAAGAAACCATAATGGAGAACATCCAACAGGAAGAAGTTAAGGATGAGTCATCTTTTTTCTCCTTTCCAGATCACTTCAGGAAAAAGAGACCCACTTCCTACAAGTCTTGAATGTTACAGATGAGTCTTAGAATCATAAAATGTTAGAGCAGTGAGAATCCTTAGAAATTAACTAGTCCTACCCCGTCATTTAACAGATGAAGAAGTAGAGGACTAGAAAGGTTAAGTGACTTACCTAAGGCTACACAACCAGTTCAGTGATAGAATTGGAAAGAGAATTCAGGTTTCTTAGCCTCATCTTCTTATATGAAATGAGAGATCCCTTCCAGCTCTAATTGCACTGTTCTGGCAAGAAGAGTCAGAGGAGGAAGCGTTACCAACTAGTGATTGCTATCATGCCCCACCTAACACAGTGAATAGATGTGAAACAGGAGGGTAAGTAATCCTTCCATGTGAGGCCAAGTATGTCGGGTTCAGCTTATGGATGAAACAAATATAAATCACAAATTCAAGTTGGGTTTCTATCAAGGTTGTCTATAAAACACCAAGATCCAAGGATTGATGCAAGGAGAAAGGTATGTTACCAGGAAGAGATTCTGATCTAGGGAAATCTTTAGAAAATTCAGAAGCCCAAGTGGAGGGACTGACAGAGACATGACCATTTGTCTAAATCAGTTATTTTTCAAAGCTTTAGGTTTTATTTTGAACTATAGCTTCAATTATTCTCTATACGCACCTGGCACTAGTATCTCATCTTAGTCATAGGGTAGAAGAGGGGGGTCTGACAAGTCTTCTGGTATAGCTACACTTGTCAGGTTGGGGATAAATGCAATTCAGGCAGTCTTTGAGCCTGAGGAAAAATTGTCTTCTAAAAACTGAGAGGGAGAAAGGGAAAGAGAGAGAGAGAGAGAGAGAGAGAGAGAGAGAGAGAGAGAGAGAGAGAGATTGAGAGAGAGAGAGATCCAAAGCATGAGTGTTAATCAAAGTTAAGTCTGAGCCAGGTTGTGGGGTAGGGGTGGAGGGGAGAGACAGACAAAATCAGAGAGAGACAGAGACAGAGAGTCACACTGACAAAGAAATAGATAGATCAACAAAGACTGAGAGAGGGGGTGGAGGGTGGGAGGTAGAGAGAGAGCATTTCTTAAATCATTGTTCTACACTAGGAATAGTGCTAAGTGCTGGGAATATAAATTCAATCCAAAAAAAAAAGTCAATCCCTACCCTCAAGGAGATTACATTCTAATGGGGCAAAACAATATATAAAAAGGGTCTAGAAAGTGGGGGGGGGTGATACAAGAAGACTGCTAGAAAGGATGTAGAGAAGTCCAGGAAGTCAAAAATGAAGCTAAGGAAAATTGAGCACAGATGACTGGAGTAGTTCCTGCAATGGTGGTACCAGCCAAGGACAAACCAATTAGAAGAGAGGTCAACAGAGGTGGAAGCATGTCCAGGGTGAGAAGGCAGCTGACAAGGAGGGAGAAAAGGCCAGAGAGTGAAGAGTGGAGCTGGGAGAGAAGGTGAGACAAGAGCAAGAAGCCAGGAGTCAAGAATGAAGGGCTACAAGGCAGGGAGGTCTATTCTGATAACAAGGGGAATGTTAAGAAGTCTTAGCTATGTCTATGGATCTGAATATATCACAAAATCACAGAAATTTAAGAGTTGGGAAAAAAAAAACCTTAGAGAACATATGATCTAACCCATTCTCAAACAATAATCCCTTCTACAACACATCTGATAAGTGGTTATCCAGTCGTTTCTTTGAAGATTGCTGGCAAAGAAACCCCTTTGCTGTGAAGGGATTCTATTCCATTCCATTTTTTCAAATAGTTCAAACTGTCAGTAAATTTTTCCCTACATTAAGCCTAAATTTTCTTCTTCTGCCCTCTGAAACCAATAAGAAAAATTCTAATCACCCTTCCAAATAAAAATCCAAAAATTTTGAAGACCACTATCATCTCTCCTTCAATTCTGATGTCTTCCAGAGTAAAGTTTCCCTTCCCATTAGTAATCAATGTCTCCTAGAAGATCATGGATGGTATTGGACTTGGAACCATGAAGACATGAGTTCATATCCCACCACTAATCCCTACTTGCTATGTGACCATAGGCAAGTCCCTTTATCTCTCCAAGACTCAAGTATCTGATTTATAAATGTAGATAATGATAATTGTAGAACCTACATCATGAGGTTGTTGGGGCTCAAATATACACCAAATGTTTTGAAAAATTGAAAGCATTATATATCCATTATTTTTATTAATAATAATAATATTATGATATTGAGGTTCTTCACTATCCTGATTGCCTTCCTCTGGACATCCTCCAGCTTATTTATGCCTATTCTAAAAATGTGTTTTCCAGAACTATATACAGTATTCCAAGTTTAAACTGACCTCAGTAGAGTGCAACGGGACTGTCCTCCATTATCCTGGACACCACATCTTATTTAATATAATATAAGACTGTTTTTGGCTTTCTTGAGTGCCATATCACACCATTGACTCATAGTGAGCTCACAGTTCACTAGTCAGTAGTTTCTTAAGCATGTATTATGTACAAGGCATTGTGATAAATTCTAGGGATACAAATCCAACCCAATCCAGTCAACGTTTACTAAGTGCCTTCTACTGGCCAGGTAAAGTGCTAAGTGCTGGGAATATAATTAATAAAAAGAAAGATAGTCCCTGCCCTCAAGGAATTTACAATCTAATGGGGAAGACAACACACAAAAGGAAGCTAAAAAGAGGGCTGGAAAGGGATGGAGAATGTATAGGAGGGAGTCCAGTCCAAGGAGTACAGCTGGCAGAAAATGAAGAATTGCTAGCTTATGAGTCCTCTTAAAATGGAGGCTTTGGGAGGAGTTCTTCCCTCTACCCTTCATTCCTCCAAACAAAGGCATAAACAGTGCTGAGTGTACTGATGAGGTTTGACTACCAAAGCAGATGCAATCTCATAGGATGATGGGTTTCCTGGTAATGAGGTTTCCTGGGAACATGATCATGGTGGAATCCAGCTGGAGGAGTGTAGCCTTTTTTTTTTATTCAGCTGAATAAAAATCTAACCATGCCTCCCTAATCTTATATTTGAAAAGGTGATTTTTTTTTTAATTTACGCGTATGACTTTTACATTTATCCTTTTTAACTTTCATCTTACTACATTTAGTCCCATGTTATAGTCTGGCAAGATCTTTTGAGTATGACTTTTGCTATCAAGCCTGTTAGCTGGGCCTTCTAGCTTTGAGTCATCTACAAATCTGATAAACATACCATCTATACATTTATATAAGTCAATGATAAAATATGTTCAGTGGCAAAGGGTCAAGAGCAGATCTCTGGGCCATTCTGCTAGTTACTTCATTCTATGTTGATACTGAATCCAAGCACGTACTGGTAAACAACTAGCTCTCCCCTTACCAAAAAAAATTGCATTCACAACAGACTTTTTTCAGTTTAATCTGTACTATTAGCATTTTCACCATCACTTTCTTAAATTTAGACCGCCAACAAAACAATGACTCAAACCCGATTTACAGCATTTACTTATTCCTGAGCTCTAAATGCTCATACTGAAAATTTCACATTTGGGTTCAAGCTGGCTCCAGTCCACTCCTAAGTCAATCATTCATGTCTATACTTTGGGTTTAACCATTCAGTTTCATGTCCACCTAATGGTATTTTCATCTAACCTACATCTTTCCCACAAGGATAGCATGAGTGATTTCATCAAATGCCTTGCCTACAGCTAGGTAAACATTCTTGTGATCAACCCTGATCGACCCCTCCCCAATGTCCAACATGGAGCCATTACCTTTGTTCTAGTGGGTGGCCTCAGGGTAACATACTCACCTGGATTGAATGCAACTACTGGGGCTACCTAGGCCCAGCCCTTGGGGATCCCTTAAAGATAGAAATTTATAAACAACTTACTTTGCACTAGGACTCCTGATAATCCCTTTGCCTTCCTAGCAAAAGAGCTTGGAGCTACATGGCTGCCAATAGCAAAGACAGATGATTCTTGCTTTTTCCAGGGCCAGGAGTTTGCTTTCTGCCAAGTGGCAAATGTGCTTCTGAGCATAGCCGTTTCCTCAAAGTTTGGCTCTAATTATCCCTGCAGTTTCAGTATCTTTGGAGCTCCCTACCAGGAGACTTTCAGGGGGGGGTAAATGGCTTGGCCATTATTTAGACAAGTTGTTTAGATGGGCAGCAGACTGTTGATGGGGGCAATAACACACGCCAATAATTAGGGAAACCTCCTGGGGAAAAGGCCGTGGGCTCCAAAGAATAATTCAGAAGTTTTCAGGATGGCAAATCTAAGGGGCCAAGATGGGGACTGGAAACCAAGAACCTGGGCAAGCTTTTCAAGCCAGGATGGTAAAATTAGGAGGCACATTACCAGAAATATCAGCAAAATGACTTTCTGTGATATACTCTGCCTCCCTCCCCATGAGCTTCAATGATAACTGTGTAGTAACAGCCAATTGAAGTTATGAAAAGACCGTACAGAATCTGAACAGAGGTAGCATGGTGCTATAGGGAAAAAAAAGTCACTGGATTTGGAATCAGAAGATTCAACAGTCAATTGATTCAACTCAGTTCTACCAGTTAATACCTGTGTTGTAAATGGGCCAGTCATGTAACTTCTATAAGCCTCAGTTTCCACCTCAGGAAAATTACAGTGTCGGACTAGATTATGTTTAAGGTCCTTTCCAATTCTAGATCAATAATTCTGTTGACAGAACATGAGATGGAAGAAATTTTCAAAATGCCTTGGAAAGATAAGAGAGCCACTGGAACTGACCATTTCATACTAAAAAGTTCCTTCATCAACTTAATTAACTTAGGTAATGACATCACCTACCAAGTCACCAGTTCATAAACAAAATCCTAATTCTCAATGGGATTTTACCTTGTTCATATAAATTCATTTAATTAGAAAGGTATTAGGGGAAATGGGATAAATTCCTCAACCTAATAGGGACAACTAATTAGTTGCCAATGCTACTCAGTCTTTAATAAATGTTTTATACACTGCACAGACTAAGGCATTGTGACCTATTATATACACATATATGAAGACAGTGGCACACTGCTCAGTGCATCTAACAAGGCATTGTGACACATTAAAATGTAAAAATTCACCACTAAAGCAATGTGACACATACAACTGTCTGTGTAGTAACTAAAGTGGTGGTACATTATTCAGATTATAAATACCTATGCAGCATGACATATATTTTACATAAATTATGTGTATGTATGTATGTATGTATCACACAGAGAAGCAGTGTGGACTAGTGGACAGACAACTAGCCTTAAAGCCAGGAAAACTTGGGTTCTAGCCCCACCTCTGACAAATACTGACTGGGAGGCTTTAGGCCAGTGCCCTAGGCAGCCCCCAAAGATTCTAAGTAGCCAAGAAGGTGTGTCTGACCTGCATTAATAGATGATTAGTAGAAGGTCCTCATCCTGGAGTTCCTGATATCAATGAATCCACAGGTCCAGTCCCTATGTCACATATACAGTGAACATTTGTCACACAACAATGCCATATTCAAGTTCCTAGGATATAGCTGTAGTCTACCATATATTCAAAACCACTGCTTACAAGTCCCCATTTCCCAGAAGATCTCTTCCTGACCTACCAAGAATTAAATATGTGCCATCACAGTAGAGCAAAAGAACACTTACCTAAAATAGAGCACAAGGTAAATTACAAGGAATTAAAATAAGGATCACACACTCCATCTTTCATTTCCCAAAACTACCTGCTCTGGTGCCTCTACTCTTTAAGCTTTGCTTAACCTTATCAGCACAGTGCTGAAAGCTAGGGAACAGAAAGTGTGGAATGATTTGCCCATCTAGGCAAAACCTCTAGACCTGAGAGGCACTACAGCTCCAAGGTCCAAAAATCTATTACTTGGATAATACAGGGGAGGGAACCTCCTGTTGGTAGACACAGGAGTTAAATGAAGCTGGAGAACAGCCTCCTGAAGCCATATCCATTTTCCTTTCTGAAGTTCATTGCTCCTACCTTGGTTGTATACAATTTCCTCCTTCCATTTTTTACTAGCTCCCTCTTCTGTCTTCATTGCCCAAACTTTCCTACTTTGGGTCTCTCAGCCTCCTCGGGAAAGCTTAAAGCATCTCACTGCAACGCTAGTAAATGCAGGAAGGGGGCAGGGTGGGACAATAATGATGAGCTGATCTCTGCCCTTTATTACATATTCTAAGACAATAGTGCATATACTAAGGGAATGTGGCACATTATTCATCAAGTGATCTCTTTTACCATTAGATCAAGATTTTGTTTTAGTTTTGTCTGATTCTGTAAATCATTTTAAAAACCTAGAACAGACTTTCTGGGTGCAGACAAGAGTTGGGCAGAAATTCATGGACCATTTGATTTCTCTCTTCCCTCTCTCCTCCTCGGAAAGCTATGGTGGACCTTAAAGAGGCTGTCTCCTTGTGTCAGCATTGGAGAGGATCAACTCCGCCTTTGAATTCCACTACTGAAGAT